CTTTCCTTGTTTCCTCGCTTCTTCGATGCGGGGCCACAGCCTTTCTCGGGTCTTCTTGTCAGCCTGAGTGAGATCCTCGCCGAAGCGGAGCCTCTTCTCCCTCAGGAAAGTGTGGTTTCGTGCATTTTTCCAGACGTCATCCCTCGCTGTGCGGAAGGCAAAGAGGATAATCACGGAGCGAGGGTGTGTGTTGCCGGCTTGACTCATATTTTGGTTAGGGCCTATTTGCTGACAGATGTCTATCACCTTTCTTTTTACATGTTCCTCCCTTTCCTCTGGTAGCCCATACAGCCCTAGAGCCCATCTCCGCCTGTATCTTTCAGTCTCAGAGAGACGTATTTCCATGTTTTTAATAGTTTTTTCATGACTGTTGCAAAGCTCAGATAACTTTTTGTTTTCATTTTTCAAAGCTTCAATTTTGACGAAGGCCAAATGTAGGGATGTTTTCAGCTCTTCGATGCCTGACTTGTTGTCTCTTACCATCAGTTCCAGGTTATCAGCTCTCTGGTTAACTGCAGCCAGAATGATAGCCTGAAGATCCTCTAGAGACACGTCGTTCCTTTCTTTCCTTTTTACTTTTAAGGCAGGGCTGGAAGAGGGACGACCAACCGGAGTAACAACCTCCGAGTCCGTTGAGAAGTCATCATCCATTTTCCCACCGTTGTTTTCTTTTTGGCTAGCAACGTAGTTGTGGTCCGTTAGCTTCAGCGCTTGAGCTCTGCCTTTACATTTATGTTTCCTATTCTGTTTTTGTTCGGACATAATATGGTGTAAAAACGTTACCGACAACAATAAAGTAGTTCCACCGTCGTTAAAAGCAAAGTTGGGAGGCCAGAAGACTGTTATTAAAGGGGTCATATAATGCCATTTTTGTACAAGCTAATATGATTCTTTAGGGTCTAAATTAAAAGTTTGTAATATACTTTAATTAAAAATTCTCATTAGTATTGTAAGCGAACACTTATTTTACCTGGTCAAAAACAGCTCTGTTTTCAGCACGCCGTTTCAGTGCATATGCCTTTAAATGATAATGAGCTTTGCTCACCCCGCCCCTCTGTTCTGTGCGTACACCGTTTGTAACAATAACCATAACGTTTTGTTCATTATAAACGTGGGATTATGAATTATATTGAGAACGTCGTACATAGAAAACATGCCGTAATGTACCCTGAGTGTAAACCGACGCATTCATCGTGAAGTGTGCAAGCGATTTGCAAAGATATAAATATAAATATTAATATAAAGTTTAATAAAACGTTACACTCACTTCAGTTGTTCTAGAGGTTCAGCAGGAACACGAATAGCTGGTACCGATCCGTTTTTCATGAGCAGCTTCTTAGCAAAACCAGCTTTATACTGATCCTCGTTTATAAAGCAGTCTGGTGTGTGAAATGATTCGCGCAAACATGAGAGCATTGTCGTTGCTCGTGGGGAATATTCCCTTCGAAAACAAACTCAGCCACTGCGTCTTCAGCGGTTCGGATTTAGGAACATTAAAATGACTGCTGTGTTCATTATTACACCCAAGAACAGAACACCACAATCGCTTAGACACCATTCTGCTCATAGACAGTGCTCCAGCATATCAACAATGACCGCGCCGGACTATGATTGACAGCTCGCGGCCGAGGGCGGGTCTGTGTTGAAACGCTGCTGTCAATCAACAATCGTGGGAGGGGCTTCCGAGCGTGTGACATCACACGGTCGAACGGCTTGATTTGAGACAGGGGAAAACATATAAGGAGATTAAAACAAAAACACTGGATGGATTTTTATCATTTTATGATGGTTGTGTACAGGCATTGCCAACACACATTTCAGTACAATCAACTTGTAAAAGTGCATGGTCCTCTCACGGACCTCGACCTCGTCCTGCTCGCCACAGCAATGCAATCGGGCCATATTTGCTCTGTCATGTGTGGGCCACTTTAGGTTCACACATAGGCGTCCGCACCAGATTTTGTCATGAGTCATTTTGTACCCACCACTGTTTTTTTTCTAAAACCTCGAGCTCAATTTAGCCGTTCTGCTGCTGCGCTGCTACACGCTTCTCTGTTCATAACACTGCAGCAACTGTAATCGTTTGGTGATCGTTGTTTAGGTAAACCACGTAAAGCTTTTTCACGTTAGGACTTATATATAAAGCCCATGAGAACCGCGGGGAGTCGACAGCCGCTCCGCTGCCCTGCTGAAAATGTGCAGCAGAAACACTTAAAGGGCAACTAAAACCTAAACCAACTTTTTTTAATTAATGATCTGTAAGAATAGGGCTTTATTAGTGCTGATCATTGATTCGAGTAACTTTTTTGACATTTGGGTATAAAGTGTTTTAATTCTACAATATATGGTGTAAAAACGTCTGAGTGCTGCCCTCTTCAGGTTGAACGGTGGCTACTGCAGTTGAATTTTCCCATTGGATGTTTGCGGTTCTTCGTGACGTAAGCGGGGAGAGCTGACGTAAGCAGGTTCCAGCTCACCACGCCCATACGAGCTATCACGCCCTCGGCAGTGTAAAAAATGAATGAATGCTCTATGAAGGCTCAGGTTCCTCTGAAAAAAGCCGGCTCGAGTTGATATGTCCCTGTGTCCACAGACAATTCACCCTCCTCCACTTCAGGTGAAGGTGGGGGAGAAAAGTCCTCGACTTCAAATGACCGCTCTGTTGCAAAGCTATGTCAGATAACCTCCATAATAATTGGACTTTGGGTTCGATTTTTTGACCGTTTTCAGTGGTTATGAGGAGCATGAGAGGGAAATTTGGTAATCATTGTTTAGGAACATTAAACCACGTCATGTCATATTGTCAACATGGTAGGCTACTTGAAGCAGAATAGTGGGTCATATATGTCTAATGCTTTTTAAAAACTTAAGGCTTTCTTCTTCATAAAACGAGTCGGACATCATCACATTTTTGTATACATTTTTATTTATTTACATTAGTAATCTACAGGAGATCGTCTTTCAAAACATGACCTGCGCGAAAGAGAAAAATAAATGAATGTGTGTGTGTCGCCAGCACATTTCAGACCACACTGACGCCCATGGGTTCACATTCAGATTCACAGTGATTACTGTCCCTCATCTTTGCCAAAACTGGCCCTGATTTGTTTTAGGATAACTGGGCCACATTTGCTGCAACATATGTGGGCCATATTTGGTTTACACCCAGATTAGTCATTGTCGATTGTGCCACATTTTTGCCATAGGTGGCCCACATTTGGTTTGTGATATTTGGGCCATATTCATTATTTATCATATGGGCCACTTTAGGCCCACATTCAGATTACACATTGCCATGAGTGCCGCATCTTTGCCTAAAAAGCCCACATGTGATTTAAAATATTTGGGCCATATTTGCCATTTTACACGTGGGCCACTTCAGGCTCACACACATTTTGTCGGGGCCATAAGAAGGCCTGCAGTGCCGCATCATCGCCTGAAGTGGCCCACATCCGTCTGCTCTCTGAGGAGCGAGTGAAACACACACTAATGCTGTTCACTGGGGAAAATGTTTAGTCGGTCTGTAGAGGAGAAGAGACTTCATCCACAGAACAAAGACAATATACTGTATATCTGTGCATCAGCAACACACACACACACACACACATAACTAACTTCATATACAATAAAACAATAACAATACAGATATTCTGTGTATAAAATGTTAGAGAGATAATGTAAATGTTTAAAAGTAACATGTAAACTTTATATCTTTTGAAACATTTATGTGCTATACTTGACAATCACGTTCATGATTAGAAATATTTGAATCATTATGGATGAGTTTAGTCTAAACATTATTATATTTGCAGGCCTGAGAGTGAAGATTTCTGCTGACACTCATCTGAGCTTCTTCCTCTGTTCCACCTTTAATTACAACTAAACCATCATTTGGCTGAATAATAAACCAACATTAATCATTCAATATCACATGTTTCTAATTCGCATGCTAACACACACGCTGCTTTATTTAATAGTGAAGTCTGAGTCTCTTCCACCTGTATGAAACACATTTACACATGTATTTCTCCTCATAGACAGCAGTGAGACTCTTCTGTGGATCACCTGATGGTTTCTGCTCCTCTCATCTCCGTTTCACAGATTTAAACCATGATGTAAATAATCTTCTAATGTTGGTCACTGAACTGATTTAAATGTTTACCACTGACGTTTGGTGACTGATCTTCAACTACACTGTAAAGTGGAACAGAAGAGAAAGTAATCAGTGTTCGGTGGAATAAAGTGCAAATTATTATATTTCAATTACTGTTTTTTGACTAAAAATAAGTTGCATTGAATTCCTGTAATCAGATTAATTACCGACTTTACATGATCTTGGATAGAGATATTTGTGTTTTTAAACATAATAGATTTAAACCTGAAACATGTTCATATGTGTGTCTGTGTGTGTGTGTGTCGGTGCGACTCCTATTGAGTCTCTGTAAAGGAGAAACTAATGAGTGTACGGCGTATGGAATAAACCACAGGGAGCAAATACTAATGTTATTTTGAGTTAAACACAAACCTTTAGTTAAAGCCGTTTGTCCTCTAGTTTAAACATGTTTGTAGGCTCTTAGTAAATAACTGAGAGTAAAGTAAGTGTAGAGTAGTGTGACGTGTTGCTTGTCACAGTAAAAACACACTAGAGACAGAGACATTGCTCATGTGAGCTGGACGCTGTGAGCTGAAGCTGGAACTGCACTGATTTTAGCAGGAGTGCAGCGTTTCCTACAATCTGACCAAGTCTGTTTTCACACTGAAATGATTCACTTCTACTGACACAGTTCATAAAGCAGGTGTTGATGTATAAAGCTGTGACAGTGAGCTTTTCTTCTCTTTCCTCCTTTGTGTTCAACATTTCAATAACTTCACATTATGTTCTCACACAAACCCTTTGTTGCAATAAAGCTTTATGATAATTTCCTTTCAGGAATGTTTGAAAGGATTGTTCACATATCAGAGGTAAATGAAGATCTCTTTAATATCTCAGTGATGTTTCCTCACCTCAGGACACAGTTTGAGTCTCGTAGCTCGTCTCTGAGCCGCTGCTTTGAGTCTCCTATCGTATTGCCTCTCAGATCAAGCTCTTTTAAAAACTGCAGTGCTTTTGAGTTAGTCAAAGACTGAGTTAAAGAAGAAACATCTGTAATGCCACAGCACTGTAGACTAGAGAGACACAAACAGAGGAAGAGAGATTATCTTACAAACAAATCATGAATGTGAAGAATTTTACACAGATATAATGTGAACTCAGACTCACTGTCAGATATTGAGTATAAAGTGTTTTAGTTTAATAAACCCAGAAAGTGCACTGCTATAACCAATGAAACATAAGCCCTGCTGTCTTCAAATAAATAAACTTCAGTCACACTGTAATTGCTGTACAGTATAATGACACTAACTGTAGTTTCTCCAGCTTGAATTGTGGGTTCATCAGTAGATCACTGAGGTTTTTCACTCCAGAGTCTCCTAGATTATTCCAGCTCAGGTCCAGCTCTCTCAGGTGTGACGGGTTTGATTTCAGAGCTGAAGTCAGGATGAGACTCTGTTTCTCTGTAATACTGCATCTATTCAGACTGAAGACAGAGAAATAACAATAGTTCACATCTATGATGATCATCTTATTGAAGAGCTACAGCAGCATTTAGTTTCCAATAGTCTGTTTTAAAACCCAGTCACACTAGTTCTGTGCGCTGGAAGACACTGTTTCTTCTCTTTCATCTTTAACTATTTATTTGACGTCTCTCTTCTTTATTCTCTGTTGTAAAGGCAGATTTCTGCGTGTACACAATCAGTACATTGTATCAGATGCTGGGAATTAAACAATTACTATCTACACTCTAAAAAGTTGTATATGATTTACTATTTTGTTTTGGTGAAACATTTTTTACACTCAAAAATATTGATTCAATTTTAAAGCAGTGAAATCAATTACAGTACACTGTATAAACTGAGTAAATGTAAGTAAAAATTTGCAGATCTGAGTAACTGCATCTGGTACATTAACAAATAAAATTGAGTACAAATAATTGTGTAAAAATATAAAAAATATCATTATTTATGAGTAATCAACTTGTTGCATTGTTTTAACTGAGTAAATCTGCTCAATCTCTCAAGAGTGTGTTAAATATATTAATAATACTGATTTGAATTAAGTAATATTTTTGGTTCTTGAAACATATCAGTTTAATTCTCCATTCTCAAATATTTTGATAGAAATTTCACAAATATCTTAAAGCTGCAGTCCGGCGTTTTTCCTCTTTGTCGCCATCTCTGTTCGAAATCTGCAACTGCAGTCATTCGTGGAATTATCAGCTTTATGTGAGTTGTACTTCAACACCCTCGACACGGGACAGTGCGGATGAACACAGTGTTTGAGGAGAGTGTGTGTGTCAGTCGCCGCCGGTGTCGATACTGGCATTCAGAATCACAGATTATTCTTTTTGGAAGTATGACCAACATAAACATATTCACTGGAAAATGTCTGAACTAGTAAGAAACATCCACTTTTGTTCTGGTTCTGACATTGCAGTAAATCGCGCTGATTAAATCTAACAATCGCTTATAAGTTATCATATCACGCAAAACCGTACGAATTATACTTTGTTCTCAGATTGTTAATGTTAACAGCGTAAGCAAGCATTGCGTGACTACATGTAATGTCCTTCCGATATTATCCTTGTTTTCGCATGGGTCCGGCTGCAGTCTCTTTCTCTCTGTCGCCGCTCCGAAGTCCGAACGAAGTCTTCTGCATGTTACAGCGGGTGAATCTGTTGTCACTGGTGATCGTCGTTTGAACCTTTCTGGATCCGCCATCAAATTGATAAGTTTAATTATATCAAGTGCTGTGAGAAAAGGCTATAAATCTCCACCTCCAACATCCTCACACGCAATATAGCCTACTAGCCCAGACTCTTCTTTATGTGGACAGATGTGTGTGTGTGTACAGATTTGTGTGTGTGTACAGATGTGTGTGTGTGTGTGTGTGTGTGTGTGTGGACAGATGTGTGTGTGTGTGGACAGATGTGTGTGGACAGATGTGTGTGTGGACAGATGTGTGTGTGGACAGATGTGTGTGTGTGGACAGATGTGTGTGTGTACAGATGTGTGTGTGTACAGATGTGTGTATGTACAGATGTGTGTGTGTGTGTGTACAGATGTGTGTGTGGACAGATGTGTGTGTGTGGACAGATGTGTGTGTGTGTGTACAGATGTGTGTGTGTGTACAGATTTGTGTGTGTGTGTACAGATGTGTGTGGACAGATGTGTGTGTGTGTACAGATTTGTGTGTGTGTACAGATGTGTGTGTGTGTGTGTGTGTGTGTGTGTGGACAGATGTGTGTGTGTGTGTGGACAGATGTGTGTGGACAGATGTGTGTGTGGACAGATGTGTGTGTGGACAGATGTGTGTGTGTGGACAGATGTGTGTGTGTACAGATGTGTGTGTGTACAGATATGTGTGTGTACAGATGTGTGTGTGTGTGTGTACAGATGTGTGTGTGGACAGATGTGTGTGTGTGGACAGATGTGTGTGTGTGGACAGATGTGTGTGTGTGTGTGTACAGATGTGTGTGTGTGTACAGATTTGTGTGTGTGTGTACAGATGTGTGTGTGTGTGGACAGATGTGTGTGTGTGTGGACAGATGTGTGTGTGTGGACAGATGTGTGTGTGGACAGATGTGTGTGTGTGGACAGATGTGTGTGGACAGATGTGTGTGTACAGATGTGTGTGTGTACAGCTGTGTGTGTGGACAGATGAGTGTGTGCACAGATGTGTGTGGACAGATGTGTGTGTGGACAGATGTGTGTGGACAGATGTGTGTGTGTGGACAGATGTGTGTGTGTGTACAGATGTGTGTGTGAACAGATGTGTGTATGTACAGATGTGTGTGTGTGTACAGATGTGTGTGTGGACAGATGTGTGTGTGTGGACAGATGTGTGTGTGTGTGTGGACAGATGTGTGTGTGGACAGATGTGTGTGTGTGTGTACAGATTTGTGTGTGTGTACAGATGTGTGTGGACAGATGTGTGTGTGTGTGTGTGTGTGTGTGTGGACAGATGTGTGTGTGGACAGATGTGTGTGTGTACAGATGTGTGTGTGTGTACAGATGTGTGTGTGTACAGATGTGTGTGTGTACAGATGTGTGTGTACAGATCTGTGTGTGTGTACAGATGTGTGTGGACAGATGTGTGTGTGTGTGTGTGTACAGATGTGTGTGTGTGTGGACAGATGTGTGTGTGGACAGATGTGTGTGTGTGTACAGATGTGTGTGTGTGTGTACAGATTTGTGTGTGTGTACAGATGTGTGTGGACAGATGTGTGTGTGTGTGTGTGGACAGATGTGTGTGTGTGTGTGTGTGTGTGGACAGATGTGTGTGTGGACAGATGTGTGTGTGTGGACAGATGTGTGTGGACAGATGTGTGTGTGTGGACAGATGTGTGTGTGTGTACAGATGTGTGTGTGTACAGATGTGTGTGTGTACAGATGTGTGTGTGGACAGATGTGTGTGTGTGTGTACAGATGTGTGTGGACAGATGTGTGTGTGGACAGATGTGTGTGTGGACAGATGTGTGTGTGGACAGATGTGTATGTGTGTGTGTGTGGACAGATGTGTGTGTGTGTGTGTGTGTGTGTGTGTGTGTGTGTGTGTGGACAGATGTGTGTGGACAGATGTGTGTGTGTGTGTGTGGACAGATGTGTGTGTGTGTGTGTGTGTGTGGACAGATGTGTGTGTGGACAGATGTGTGTGTGTGTACAGATGTGTGTGTGTGTGTACAGATTTGTGTGTGTGTATAGATGTGTGTGTGTGTGGACAGATGTGTGTGTGTGTGTGGACAGATGTGTGTGTGGACAGATGTGTGTGTGTACAGATGTGTGTGTGTACAGATGTGTGTATGTACAGATGTGTGTGTGTACAGATGTGTGTGTGGACAGATGTGTGTGGACAGATGTGTGTGTGTGGACAGATGTGTGTGTGTGTGGACAGATGTGTCTGTGTGTACAGATGTGTGTGTGTGTACAGATTTGTGTTTGTGTACAGATGTGTGTGGACAGATGTGTGTGGACAGATGTGTGTGTGTGTGTGTGTGTGGACAGATGTGTGTGTGGACAGATGTGTGTGTGTGGACAGATGTGTGTGGACAGATGTGTGTGGACAGATGTGTGTGTGTACAGATGTGTGTGTGGACAGATGTGTGTGTGTGTGTGTGTACAGATGTGTGTGGACAGATGTGTGTGTGGACAGATGTGTGTGGACAGATGTGTGTGTGTGTGTGTGTGGACAGATGTGTGTGTGTACAGATGTGTGTGTGTGTACAGATGTGTGCATGTACAGATGTGTGTGTGTGTACAGATGTGTGTGTGGACAGATGTGTGTGGACAGATGTGTGTGTGTGGACAGATGTGTGTGTGTGTGTGGACAGATGTGTGTGTGTGTACAGATGTGTGTGTGTGTGTGTACAGATTTGTGTGTGTGTACAGATGTGTGTGGACAGATGTGTGTGTGTGTGTGTGTGTGGACAGATGTGTGTGTGTGTGTGTGGACAGATGTGTGTGTGGACAGATGTGTGTGTGGACAGATGTGTGTGTGTGGACAGATGTGTGTGGACAGATGTGTGTGGACAGATGTGTGTGTGTGGACAGATGTGTGTGTGTGTGTACAGATGTGTGTGTGTACAGATGTGTGTGTGGACAGATGTGTGTGTGTGTGTGTGTGTACAGATGTGTGTGTGGACAGATGTGTGTGGACAGATGTGTGTGTGTGTGTGTGGACAGATGTGTGTGTGGACAGATGTGTGTGTGGACAGATGTGTGTGTGGACAGATGTGTGTGTGGACAGATGTGTGTGTGTACAGATGTGTGTGTGGACAGATGTGTGTGTGTGTACAGATGTGTGTGGACAGATGTGTGTGTGGACAGATGTGTGTGGACAGATGTGTGTGTGTGGACAGATGTGTGTGTGTACAGATGTGTGTGTGTACAGATGTGTGTATGTACAGATGTGTGTGTGTGTGTGTACAGATGTGTGTGTGTACAGATGTGTGTGGACAGATGTGTGTGTGTGGACAGATGTGTGTGTGTGTGGACAGATGTGTGTGTGGACAGATGTGTGTGTGTGTACAGATGTGTGTGTGTGTACAGATTTGTGTGTGTGTACAGATGTGTGTGGACAGATGTGTGTGTGTGTGTGTGTGGACAGATGTGTGTGTGTGGACAGGTGTGTGTGTGTGTGTGGACAGATGTGTGTGTGGACAGATGTGTGTGTGTGGACAGATGTGTGTGGACAGATGTGTGGGTGTGGACAGATGTGTGTGTGTGTACAGATGTGTGTGTGTACAGATGTGTGTGTGGACAGATGTGTGTGTGTGTACAGATGTGTGTGGACAGATGTGTGTGTGGACAGATGTGTGTGGACAGATGTGTGTGTGTGTGTGGACAGATGTGTGTGTGGACAGATGTGTGTGGACAGATGTGTGTGTGTGTGGACAGATGTGTGTGTGGACAGATGTGTGTGTGGACAGATGTGTGTGTGGACAGATGTGTGTGTGTACAGATGTGTGTGTGGACAGATGTG